CAGGAAATGAGAAAATAAGATAATACCAAACAATGAAAAACAATCTGAAAAAGAATACCAAAAAATAACCAAAACACAAGAATCCTAACAATGAGAGGAGTAAACTACAGAATGGTGCAGTCATCGCTGCTCTGATAGCTGACTCTGTGTTCGTACTGATCTCTCAGCCTCTCCTCTTCCTCTCTGAGCTCTCTTTCTTTCTGCTCCTGTAACTGCTTCATCAGCTTATTCATCTCCCTCTCTCTCTCCTCTTGTTCTCTTCTTTCTTCTTCTTTTCTTCTCTCCTGCTCCCTCCTCCTCATCTCCTCCATCTCCYGCCTCCTCTCCTCCATCTCCCGCCTCCTCTCCTCCRTCTCCCGCCTCCTCTCCTCCTCCTGCTCCCTCCTCTCCCTATCTCTCTGCTCATAAATCCTCTGCAGTTCCCTTTGATAAGATTCCTGCATCCTTCTCTCTACTTYTTGTCTCTCTCTGCRTATTTTCTCCTCTTTYTCYCTCAGGATTCGTTGTTTCTCCTCTTTTATTTTCCTCTCAGCCTCCTGGAACATCTCGTTGGTGTAGTGGCTTCCTCCGTTCTTCTGAACAATATGTTTGATCTTCTTGAGGAGCTGGAGGACCTGAGGTTTCTTGTCCTTCAGCCTGTTGTTGAAGACGTGGTACTGACCGTTACATCTGGACACGAGCTCCTGCAGATCTGGACTGTCAGACAAGAAATCTTCAATGGTGGTTTCTTCCAGATCATCTCCATGAGTAAAGAGGACCATGCTGTATCTGTCTGCTGTAGCTCCAAACACTTCCTGGACCCGTTGCACCGTCTGCTTCTCCTCCTCGGTGTATCTGGTCAGTGAGATGACCACCAGGAAGATGTGGGGACCAGGAGCAGCTAAACTGATGCACTGACTCAGATCTTTGGTTGTTTTCTTCTCATTGAACCTGGTGTCCAGCAGACCTGGAGTGTCGATGACGGCCACCTTCTGTCCCCCCACCTCCGTCTGGCCTTTGGCACACTCCTCAGTTAAAGACTTGGGACTGCACTTGGACTTGAAGCAGTCTCGACCCAGAATGGTGTTTCCACTGGCACTTTTTCCAGTCCCAGTCTTCCCCACCATCACTATCCTCAGTTCATTGTTGTTTGTCAGCATCGTTCCTGGAAAAAAACAGAGGTTTTGAGACAGAATAAGACTTTATTTCATATTATCTGACGGAACAAAGACAACTAATTACAAACAAATGAAAGCACACACACAAGTTAAGAACAGATTAGAAAACAGGTTAAAAGCAACGACTCTGATGGATTGAATCACTTTGCTTGTTTTTCAGAACTGCTAGAAATAATTCCTGTGAAATAAGATCTGACATCTTGAGTTCAGACTGGAGCTGATTCCATGACCCTGAACGCTTGCTTCCTTTTTTTCTGTTCGAATACGTGGAACATGCAAAAGAAAGGTGTTGTTTTCTGCATTTAATTGTTTTCCATGGTTTTCTCGTTATAATGAGGAGCGTTTTCTCGAGATAACGAGTTAATTTCCCGATGGTTTTCCTCTTGTGCATCATTCAGTAACCATACCGTTATTTAACCAGGCAAATTCCATTGAGATCGCAGTTCTTTTTTACAAGGGTGGCCTGGGCCTGAAGGCAAACTATTGGACATAACTTTGAGTCATTTTTGTATCACAGACTGAAAGTGTGATTTGTTTGTCCTGTATGGAGAGAAAATAGACTAATATATTTCGTGTGGGTGAAATAAAGTTTGTGTGAGTGTAATAAAGTTTGTCTGTGCGTAATAAAGTTTGTCTGTG